TAACCACAGGTAGCCCAAGCAGTATTATGGGCTTGGACACGTGATGGTGCAAAACCTTTATTGCCAGCGCATTTGAATAACAGATTACCTGAGTATGTTGACGTATTTCCTTAAATTTAGTTTCCTTCTTCTCAACAGCGAAAAGAAATGGACAAAAGAAGGAAGAAAAAACGAATCAAAACAGAACCAATAGAACAAGATGCAGTAGATTATCAAGGTAATGCGTTTTCAAATTCTATCTTCCCTGTAGATGAGTGGGTGATAACTAGTAGAGAACTAGTGTAGACTGCGTCGGTGTTTCTGAACAAAACAGTAGGAACTTATGGATAAATTGGATCACCGTAAGAAGCTTTGTTACCTGACGTTTCGGACGTTAGTCCTTTCCTTTGGACTCCGACGACCGAAACGTCAGTTTAACAAAGCTTCTTACGGTGATTCAATTTATCCATGAGTTCCTCCCTGTAGATGAGTTGACTTTTATGAGAGTAAATGGTTTGAACCCAGTTGTTGAAGTTTGATGTGAAGTGTGTTCATCCGGTTGAGTGTAGTCTGTGTGAGAAAGACTGTTGTTGGTGGTGACTGACAGTTTGTTGTGAAGTGTGATCGTCCGGTTGAGTGTAGTCTGTGTNACTGTTGTTGGTGGTGACTGACAGTTTGTTGTGAAGTGTGATCGTCCGGTTGAGTGTAGTCTGTGTGAGAAAGACTGTTGTTGGTGGTGACTGACGTTTCGAGCTTTCCAGATTGGAGAAATTCGAAGGCGGAGGCTTAGCTTATTTGCAGATGTCTAGCCTGCGTAGCGGTGATTTGGAGAGGGGGGAGGGGGGAGGGAAGGGGGACTACGTAGGTGTTTGGAAAACACATCAGTGTGGATGTAACCTAAAAGCTATTTTCACTCATTTTTTAAAAAATATAGATAAGGACCAAGGCAACCAGTCCACGAGTAACCATCAATTAGCAATTACCGGGGATGATCACGTGACTGCTACTAATCACGTGGTAACACCGGAAGAGAGCAGGCGAGGAATTATGGGTAATGACGAAATAAGCCCAATAGAAAGGAAAGTTATCAAACGAAGAGTGAGTGAATCTAGCGATAGTGATGAGGACTGGAATGAATGCGTTGAGATTATCGATATGAGTGAGCTGGGGACAAGAACGAGTGCCAGGAAAAGACCAAATGTGAACTACTCGTTTGCTGATGACTTTGTTAGTGACTTGAGTCAGGATGAGGAGGAGGACGAGGAGAAAGAGGAGAAGGAGGAGAAGGAGGAGAAGGAGGAGAAGGAGGAAAAGGAGGAGAAGGAGAAGGAGAAGGAGAGCAATGGCCCTAGCAAACATGTCCCCGGCGACAAATCTGACCCAAAAACGCCAAGCATAAGCAAGACTATAATTACCAGTTACAGTTCATCACTAGCCCACGTTCCAACACCACCCCCAGTACCAGTACCATCAACCCACGTCCCAACACAGCCCCCTGTACGGTTTACAGCTCCAGCAGCAGTACCAGAACCAGCACCAACACCAGTACCAGCACAATTACCAGCACCACCAACCCACGTCTCAACACCAGCACCAGCACTAGTACCAACACCAGCGCCAGTACCATTACCAGCGCCAGTACCATTACCAGCGCCAGTACCAGCACCAGCACCACCAACCCACGTCTCAACACCAGCACCAGCACCAGCGCCAGTACCATTACCAACACCAGCACCAGCGGCAATACCAGCACCAGCACCACCAACCCACGTCTCAACACCAGCACCAGCGCCAGTACCAGTGCCACCTTCAGTACCAGTACCAGTACCAGTACCAGTACCAGTACCAGTACCAGTACAAAACCAAGTCCAAGTAGAGGGCAGTGTCGCCTCATTCTCTCTCTTACTTCAGGTAAGAACTGATAACCGCTGCTTTATATTCCCTGAAAAGCAGGAATGCCATTTACTTCTTCCACCCAGAGCATTTACTTCCCTTTCTTCGTCTTCAAAGTGAAATGTTTATACTACGTTACTGGTTGGCTAATGCGATATTCGAGTTGCTAAAACAGTTTTAACCGTGCCCTGGTTCCAGAGGGTCTCTCTCTCTCCAGTACTTCTCGATCCAGGGGCGGATCCAGGAATTTGTTCATGGGAGGGTGCAGCGGACATAGTTAACCCAGGGAGGGGTGCACCCCTTAGAATCAAAGGGAAGGAACATTATTTTGTATTGATTAAATCTTCAAAGTAGGGGCACAAAGTCGAACCAGGGAGGGGTGCGGGCCCCCTGCACCCGTCCCCTGGATCCGCCACTGCGATCAAAGTTTGGTTAATCATACCAACCGTAAAGCACTGGACCTAGAGAGGCGTTGATTCCCACCGTACAGTTAAGTGGGAAATACCACAAACATTAGGTTCCTATTATTTCATAATTGACAGTTTGCCCAATTCGTAGGCAAGCTCAAATTACAGCCCAACACGATCGCAAACAACCCTGCGAGGTAATGTACCTGAAGGGCCATGGTGTGAGTCGGTTTTTCCCGCTCGGCGCAGACTGAAAGCAACGCGGGATCTGGGAACGAGAATAGTGGAATAACTGTTCAAACAGATGTAAAAATGTGTTGCATTTTTTGTACGCAGACAAAATAGCGAATTCCGGAAACGCAGTTTTAACTACAGAGGGGCTGTTCTTTGGAATAACCTCCCTGATAATATAAAAAGTGTGTATACGTTTTTGAGAAAATATATCCAGATTGAGAAAATGACAGCGACAAGAATAATGAGATAAGGTCAACGATTTTTGCACGTGTTCACGTGAGTATTCAAGCCAGTCCTGGTGTAGAAACCAATAGAAACGATAGAACCCTTTTTGATTGACGTCCACTCAAACTCAATTTTTCGTTTGTGATGAAGGTCTTGTTGGTCTCGTGTGACTGGAAATCGCAGTACACCTTCGGGACTTTGTTTGGTGAAGGGTTTTCGCTGACTAGAGGTTTGCTCCACAGTAAACATGGAGGGAAATTTTCGGGACAAGTAACTAGCTGTCCGTTTAATGAAGGGTGTCCGATAAATAGGTTTTACGGGTTTTACAGCAAATGTGGGAGGATCATTTTAGCGACCGTGCAACTTGCTGTCCACTTATAAAGGGTGTCCACCCACTTTTTTTTTCAAGCATCAGGAAAACTCTGTACAATTTTCCTCCATTTTTTGTCAATTACCTTTTTCTTTCTTTTTAAGGCCTTCAATATCAACGTGTCAGCGGTACTACAGAAAGTTAAACCCACTCCTTCCCAAGATACTGTGCAATCTTCTAACCCAACTGCGAATACAACTGGTCAGCCTTCACCTCTATTATCTACAAATACTTGTGTCAATGAATCTAGTTCGTCGCAGTCTCTCATGACTCAGTCTTCCAATACAGACAACTCGAAATCTTTTAACGTATGTGAAACCCCATCAACTAGCAGTCAGCGGTCATCCACTGTGCATTTAATTGAAGATAACACTGGTACTCAGTCTCTTCCAGAGACTCGTGCAAAAAATCTAGAAGAGTCTTCAGCGAAAAATCTAGAGGACAGTACGACCAAACTTGATGCAAAGAGAGAAACTCTTAGAACTTCTAGTCCGAAGAAAACTGGTGACGAATCTGCTGTGGTTACTTCACGCTCGCCTTCAAAACGAAAATCGACGACTCCACGAAGAACAAGAAAATTCTCCGAACAACAAACACAAAACTTGTCAGATAGAATAGAAAATATTATTCAACAGAACGAGAAAGTACTGGCAACCAATAAGATGTCCAAGAACCCTCTGATTGACCGTGACAACGAAAGCCAAAATGAACTAAGGAAGCCGGCAACACCTTCAATCCCACCGCTCCCACCATGTCTGACTACACTCAAGGGCTTTAAGACGTTAATGAGCATAAAGGGGCAGTTAGAAAACCTGGCTCGTAAAGCCCACAATAACGTTACTGAAAATGTATTGAATAGTCTGCCGACGAGCACCGCGTCCCGGGTAATCGATAGTCCTTCGGAATATACTCGTTCAACCACTAACGTCTCTACTTCAAGTACGTCGCTGAGAAAGTCTTTAAGTGCTGTAATTACTCCCTTAACAGTAACTAGTTCAATTAGTACTTTATCAACACGAGACCAATTAAGTACCGTGAGTACGTGTATGAGTAATGGTACTTCTACGAGGACTACCTCGAGTCCTTTGGACTTTACATCAACGACAGCTACTTCAAGTATAATTTGCTCTATTAAACAGGAGCGGAGATCAAAAAAGTCTCCATCAGCCGGTGTTGCTATAACGACAAATGCAGCTATACCAAGTGGATCTATAGAGCATACACCAACAGTAACACACCAGTCAAATTCGTTAGCATCGCTTCCAATGGCCGATCAAGGATTTTCTCAGGATTCCTTCGTTAAATATTTTCTCTACAGAAAAGCACCTGAATATAAGGTTCTTGCCTCTCGCTTCCGTAGCTTGTTCCTGTGGCCGATGTTATTGGCAAAAGTGCCCCTTGTAGGAAAAGTCCCTAAGAACTTGTTCAAGGAACGTTCCAAGCAGTATTCTCAGAATTGGGGTTTCCCCTACATGTTTGCATTGCCTGTACCAACTACGCCTGTACCAACTACGCCTGTACCAACTACGCCTGTACCAACTACGCCTGTACCAACTACGCCTGTTAGCTCTAGTCTTAGCACCAGCAAACCAAAATCATCTGCTAGAGGAACCAAGTCTCGTAAAAGTTCTAAGAAAACCAAATCTTCTTCTAGTGCAAAGGCATCTAAACTCCCTATCCCTACAATCTCTACGTCTGAAGCAAGGTCTGGAAATCAAGAGGACAAAGATACGAACAAACTGACAGAATTGAACAAAACGGCGGCCACGAGAAGTGAGAGAAGTCAAAAACGAGCTTTAAAAAGGAGTAATCTGAAATTTGGGGAAGATATGGAACCCAGGAAAAAGAGAAAGGTGATAGCAGTTGTTTTAGGGAAAAACAAAGAGAGCAAGAAGGTACAGGAATCTGCCGATAGAGGTACATCCGATAGTACCGCGACGACACAAGAGTGTCAAAATGGGCCTGCGATAACAGATATCCCTTGTGAACCCAACAACGATAAAGAAACAACAAAAACAACAGATTTACCAGAGACCTGACCGCTCAAAACAAGAACAACAACAAGAAAGAACAAGAAAAACAGATTTACCAGAGACTTGACCGCTCAAAACAAGAACAACAAGGAAGAACAAGACAAACAGATTTACCAGAGACTTGACCGCTCAAAACAAGAACAACAACAAATAAGAACAAGAAAGACAGATTTACCAGAGAATTGACCGCTCAAAACGAGAACGACAACAAGGAACAACAAGAAAAACCAGATTTACCAGAGACTTGACCGCTCAAAACAACTAAAAATTCTGAACTTGAAAGGGTAGACCGTGACAAATCATAGAAAATAGTGTGAAAACGAATTTTGCCATTGAGTTCATCCTCGCCAATATAACGTGTCATTACATTGAGTATTATTTTTCCTAAACGGTATTGTTTGAGAAAATAAACATAAAGATTTATTTTTCCAAAGAAGTTTGAAATTGTAAAAAGTTCATGAACGACCAATTAATAAAGAACAAAATCAAAAACGTTGCTCAGATTGTTTAGTGTGCGACTATACCAACCAAGGCCACCCAGACTAATTTTGCACCCAATGAACCCCCCTTAAATCCGCCACAGTTTTACTCCACGCAATTTTTGATATATGCAGGTTATCAGTCGGCTAAGCATCTGATACGGCTGTGTATTTTTACGAGTCACGGAGTACTTTGGATAGTCTAGATACTAGTGACCAGTAAAAATACACAGCCGTATCAGATGCTTAGCCTACTGATAAGTTGTTTATCATTTAATTCTGCAAAGAAATGCTCAAACTCTCTCTAAACCCTATCGTACCCAGCAATAGCAGGTGAGAAGTGCTGATACGGTCTCACATTCACATCAGGCATGGTCTTTTCCCTTATCACTGACGCACGCTCTTTGCAGAATTAAATGGTATTTCTTTATATTGTTGTCTTGCATTTTTTATTTCATCGTTGATTTTTTTTTCTTTTTCTTTCTTTTTTTTTT